TTTGAACCATGCAGTGTTACCCTGCTCTGTTCTGACTACTGCCTCTTGATCCAAGTATAGGTTTCGTATTAGCACAATTAAATGTTCTGAGATTCCCATTCTTCTCAGAGTTAGCCACTGTTTGTTATGATCCACACAGTCAAATGCCTTTGCATAATCAATGAAACACAGATAGACATTCTTCTGGTATTCCTTGCATTCAGCCAAGATCCATCTGACATCAGCAACAATATCCCTGGTACCAAGACCCCTTTTAAACCCAGCCTGGACTTCGGCAGTTCTCTGCTGATGTGCTGTTCTAATCATTTTTGGATAATCTTCAGTAGAATCTTGCTTGCATGTGGAATCAGTGACACTGTTCTGTAGTTTCCACACTCATTTGGGTCACCCTTCTTTGGAATGGGAACAAATATAGATCTCTTCCAGTCAGTTGGCCCATTTCTTGGTACAACTTGGTGAGCACATCCAGGGCAACATCTGTTATCTGAAGTACTTCAATTGGTATACCATCTATTCCTGGGGCCTTATTTTTTGTTATTTCCTTCAAAGCAGCTTGAACTTCTTCCTTCCTCACCATAGGCTCTTGCTCATATGTTATTTCATTAAATTCTTCTGTATCTGCCAATTCCTTTCTATACAATGACTCAGTATATTCCTTCCATCTTCTTTTAATACTTCCTGGATCATTTAATATTCTGCCCAGAGCATCCTTGATTATAGCAACTCTAGGTTTGAATTTGTTCTTCAGTTCCTTAAGCTTAAGAAATGCTGAGCATGTATGCAGAATGTTTTTCTTTTATTTTTTTTTAATCGATCCAGGATTTTTTTTTGTTTATTTCCAGTTTGCTTATAATTAAGTCGCTAATTGATTAAACTTTAGGACTTGCATTTTATACAACCTTAACATCAGAATTTTTTTTTCTGTTTATTGTTGCCCTATTTTGACTTAATACTATTTTCTCTTAAGGACTTGTGATTGTTAGTGTGTTAGAATTTTTAATTGAAATGTATAACTCATTCTTTCTCTTTGAACTTCATATTTGGGGGGGAGGGAATTCCTATTTTGCGCATGTTAACAAAATAGACCAGTTCTTGGGAAAACACATCATTTTGGAAAAGGTAGAGAAGTCAGAGAAAGAGAGGAAGACTGTTGAAAGCGGAAGAAATTGAATTGCCACAGTGACTGTTAACAGTGGGCTTAAGTGTATCATAGATGGTGAGGCTAGCAGAAGACAAAGCATGGCTCAGATTGGTTGTTCATAGTGTTGATATGAGTTGCAGTGAACTTGATGGCACCTAAAAACAATCCTTTGACATGACTTTGTTAACTTTTATCTTACTTGTAGAAATAATCTGGTTTTATGGTTCTTAACAAAATAATACTCCCTGAAATTAAGAAATTGAGACAATTTAAAAATAAAAATGCCTATTGATGTGAATTGTGTGTTCTTTATTTTAAAGAAGGTATATATCAAAGAAACTTGGATGTTCAATTAGTTCCTTTGAGACATACACCATTCTTAGCAACTTAACCTGCTTCTGTAAATTCATGAAGCTCTAGAAGATAATTTAGTATGTGAAATCTATTCAGACTAGTACTTAATTGGAAATAATCTTTTGTATAGTAGATAAGTTGGATTTAGATACCAACAGCAGATGGAAAATTGCATTTTGGCATGTGATGAGAAAACACTATGTTGTTTGAAAACAATACCAATAGTTTTTCATCAATAAATCATCAGGATACATATAATTGTTATATATTAACATTTTCAACTAAATATGAGCAAAAGGAATAGAATTCATTAAAAACAAAAGTTCATGAATTTACTCACATTTCTTCTTTCCCCTGTATCTTCAGGTTAAGTACAGATGGCACAGAGAGAGGTGTTGTAAACCTTTGTTCCATGGATTCAGCAGAAGCCTTAAAATTACAAGATATTACATTAAAGTATGCTTATATTTCTGGTAACAAAAACATATTTCCTCATTTTACATTGATTGAATCATCTGCTCTGAATTTTACTTGATGTCTTTTTTTTCTCTTGCTCCCTCAGCGGTCAGATACAGCTGGATGCGTCTCCAGTGTGTGAGGTAAGGATCTTGTCACAGAATACAGTCACTGTGCTATGCTGAGATTTATCAAGAGGTGCAGGCTTCATTCATGAGGAAAATGTTCAAATTTAGGATGTGTTCCTGAGGCTTTTGTGAATTCTCACCAAAATGCTCTAGTTCTCATGCTCACTTATTCTATACCCAACTGTTGGTCACCCCATATGCTACAGAGTAGAACTCCTCCGAAGGGTTTTCTTGGTGCAGTCTTTATAGCAGCAGCACAATGGCTCCATTGGCATATGGGCTAGTGCTCAAATGCAAACCATTTGTACCACTAACACTCAGGAACTTACTCTATATTTCCTTGAAGATGAAAATGATCTATTTCCAGTTATTTGCTCTGAGACAGTCTTTTTGGTAGAAAGTGCACCTGTGCTGGGTCAAGAAAGTGTATCACCATTGGAGACAGGTTTTAGAGACAAGAAATAAGTCTGTAAACCAGGTGAAGTAAGCTAGAAAGGACTTAACACACAAGAACAAACCATTTGGGGAATTTATAGGAGAAGGAAAGAGCATAGTCAAGAGGAAATGGCTAGGGGCACTTAGTGGCAAGGTAGTAATAGGTCCAAAAGTATTATTGCTGCTGCTGTTATGTCCTATCAAGTGAGCACTGACTCATAACTGGCCCTCCAGCAGGTTTTCAGAGGTAATAAATCGCATTGTTGTTGTTAAGTGCCGTCAAGTCGCAGGCAACTCATAGCGACCCTATGAAGGAGAGTCCTCGACACTTGGGTGTCTCTTATCCTATCTACATGTTCATAGGGTTTCTGGAGGCAAGCTATTACGGAAGTGGATGCCACTCCTCCTTCCAAGATAAATCTCATAGGAAAGCATTTTCAAGCTTTTTTCCATGGAGGAGTCAGTGCGTGTGACCATATGTCTTCAGGTTGGCAGTGCATCTCCTCACCACACGGCCACCAGAGCTCCTTCAAATAGTATTACGTGAGGTGATATTTGTAGAGAAGATTTATTAGAGTTTGTATTTGGATGGCTGTAGAGAGATCCATTTTGACATGAAACTAGAGCTCAACCTAGAAGGTTCCAGAGAAAGAGAAATTACCTGACTCAGAGTGAGACTGGTTTGAGATGGTGAGTTACATGTGAAAAGTAAGTTCTAACCTGCTCCATCCTTTCTTGCTTGGTCTGGAGTGATTAGACACTCAGGTCGTAAAGCCAGTTTAGAGGTATCTGCTCATGAACTGCAGTCAAGCAATCTCACACAGTTCAAAGGTGGTATCCTGACAGCATGATTTAGGACCAGGTTATTTGGGGTATAGGCGCGCGCGCGCGTGTGTGTGTGTGTGTGTGTGTGTGTGTGTGTGTGTGTGTGTTTTAAAATTCCCCTGTGATCTTGTGCCTTTCAGAGGCACTTTTGCTTTGTAGCATTTCTACAACCTGTGAACTAGTGATTGCTCCCTAGGAGACACTGGACTCAACTCTCCTCTGAGGGAATCCTTTACTTTGTGGATAGTTCAGATAGATTTTTCTATGAAGTCAACATTGTAGTCTTAGAAAATGTGAGTATGACCCTCTTGGCTGCCTAAATACACTAATTCATTCATGTATTGCGTCTTCATTATGCATCTGTGCACCAAGGTTATGATGCAAGTGAGAAAGAGACTGTTCTTTTGTCAGCAGTTCTACTACTTGATAGAACACATATGCACTATTTTTTCTTTCTTTTAGGTACAACATGATCTAACATCACAGAGTAATGGGAGCCAGTACTCTCCACATGAAGTAAGTTTCTTGAAGATGAAAGGAAGCAGAGGTACTGCTTGAAAGCTGAATCAGAGTGCCTTTTACAGAAAGATAGAATCTAAGACTTTGGTGATTAATGAGTTAATCAAGTATTGAAGATTCTCTCTGTCTCATTCTCGTTAGCACTTGTATGGTTTATCTGCCTCTATTCGTAATTACAAATTAATTTTTAAAACAAAGTTTTAAAAGACCAAATATGAGAACTGCTTTAGAGAGTAGCTTTGTCCCAAACCAAATGAAGTAAACCCCAGTTGGCAGCACTGAGAGTGTCTTGTTACTCATAAGTGATTCAGCTTGTGGTGTCCCTCTAGAGGCGACACTGATTCATTGTCATCTGTTTCTTCATCTCATACTGTGAGAGTCTTCATGTGTGTCTGGATGTGTGTGTATGAAAATTGTATTTCTAATAATATATAATTATTTCATATAATAATGTGTATAAAATGTATATTTATGTTTGCACGTGTGTGTGCACATGTATGCATGTACACCTGTATATATGTGTAATGTGTTTATAGAATAATACATCTTATTATTGTTGGGGAGCATTGGTGACCTAGTGGTAATGATTTGGGCTGCCAGTGAAAAGACAGGTGATTTGAATCCAGCACTGCTGTGCTGGTGAAAGATGGGCAGTCTCCCCCTGTGTGGTTCACTGCTTCTGAAAACCCAATGGAGGGTCAGCTGTGGGTCAGTTCTGACGTTACAATAACCAACAACAACAATTATTATTTATAATAATATGTTGTTGCTATGTGCCTTTGAGTCGCCTGCAATTCATAGCGACCTTATGTACAACAGCCCTGTGCCAATCTCACTGTCTCCGACACACCCACCCTTATTACCCCTCTCACTGAATCAATCCACCTCATCGAGGGTCTTCCCCTCCTGTGCTTTCCCTCCACCCTCCCAAGCATGACGTCCTTTTCCAAGGACTAGTCCCTCCTTGCAGCATGACCAAAGTATGTCAGATAAAGCTTCAGAATCTTTGCCTCCAAGGAGCAGGATTTAACCCTCTCCAGGATGAACCTGTTCGTTTTCTTAGCAGTCTGTGGTATATTCAGTACTCTTCTCCAAGACCACAGCTCAAAGACATCAGTACTCCTTCTATCTTCCCTAATCATTGTCCAACTGTCTGATGCATAGCAAGTGATTGCAAAGACATAGCCTGTGCCGGGTGCACCTTAGTCTCCAGAGTAACTCCATTGCTCTTCAGTACTTTGGAGAGGTCCCTAACAGCAGACTTTGCCATCACAGTGCGTCTTTTAATTTCCTGGCTGCTGGTGCCAAGAGAGTTGCCTGTGGAGCCAAGCAGACTAAAGCTGTGAACAATCTCAATCTCTTCACCATCTATCCTGATGCTACCAATTGGCCCGGTGGTGAGAATCTTTGTTTTCTTGACATTGAGCCTCAATCCATATTGAAAGCTGCAGTCCTTGACCTTTTGCAGCAAGTGCTTTAGGTCCTCCTCAGTTTCAGCAAGCAGGGTGGTGTCATCTGCATAAGGCAGATTGTTGATGAACAATCTAATCCTGATCCCACACTTTTCCTCATACAGCCCAGCCTCCTGGATAATCTTTTCTGCATACAGGTTGAAAAGATATAGAGATAGGACACATCCTTGGCATACAACCTTCCCAATTTTGAACCATGCAGTGTTTCCTTGCTCTGTTCTAACGACTGCTTCCTGGTCCAAGTATAGGTTTCGCGTTAACACAATCAGGTATTCTTGGATTCCCATTCTTCTCAGAGTCAGCCACAGTTTGTTATGATCCACACAGTCAAATGCCTTTGCATAATCAGTGAAACACAGATAGACATTCCTCTGGTACTCCCTGCTTTCAGCCAAGATCCAGCTAACATAAGGTACAATATCACTAGTACGACAAACCTTCTAAAGCCCACCTACACTTCTGGCAGTTCTCTGTTGATAAGCTTTTCCAGTCGTTTTTGGATAATCTTCAGCAGAAAATATATGTGGGTATAATATGTGTATATCTGTAGAATAATGTTCACCTGTTATTGTATATTTTCCCCAGACTTACCACACAGAAAGAGAGGAAGGCTCTCAGTGAGATAGATTGACCCAGTTATTACTACAGCAGTAAGCTTGAGCATGATGGAAATTACAAAGATAGTGTGGGATAGGGCAAGATTCAGATCGCTGAACCATAGGGTCACTATGAGTCGTAATCAATTCCGCGACATCTAATAACAACATAAGATGTGTGTATATGTCAAAGTGTGTCATAATAATATGTTAATAAATGTGTATATGTGTTTATGTATCATACACAGACTCCACTTTTTAATGTTCACACGCTGTGTTGAGGGAAGAAAGGGCTGCTAGTTTTACAAGGTTGTAAAAATATTTTTAAAATGACAAGTCCGTGAACTGTGATAAAGCAAATTTTTTTTTCAATATTTCTGCCACCGGGAATTCTAGCCATATGAAGAGACAACTGTAATCTTATCTTTTAGCCAGACTGGTAAATGCAGAAGGTGGCGCTTATATGATAACCCTGAATCTTAGAAGCCTGCCTGGTTCTGCTCCCGTGTTGAAATTTCTTTTCCTTCTGCCTCCCCAGCTGAGCGAGAATTCCCCTGCCATCTCTCCTACCACAAGCAGCACAACTGTGTTTGGCCTGAAGCCTAGATCAGGTAAATTACAACCTAAGCCTGTTGTTACACTTGAAACAAAAAACTCAGTGGTTTCTCATTAACCTTGTAAATTGATACATAATTAATGTGAAAGTCCTTGTCAACTGGTGGCTAATTCATTCAGATCCTGGCATCCCTTGCTGCATTTAGGGTCTAGAGCTAGAGCTTTATATTCGTAGAAGTTCAGCTTTATATTCGTAGAAGTTCAGCTCGTTAGTCCATATTACATCAGTGCCTCCTTTGGAATCAAAGTGAAGGAAAAAAAATGGTAATGAAGGTGTGTACTGAAGCAGAAAATCGTCTGAAACCAGTAACAAAATCTGAATGTGGTTCATTTAATGAACAGTTTGCTAGTTGGGATGCCATTTTGATGAGGAGACACAAATGTTCCAAAGATTCTTCTTCACTGCATTGTGATGGAAACAGAGCCAGAATGGTATTTGCATTAAATTAATTAATCAATCAGTCAATCAATCAATCCATTAATTCCGCTTACTCTGAAACATAGCTTATAGTCTGAGAGTGGAGTTTGTTTCCTCAAACTGACTTTTTAAAGGTGGTTCCTCCAAAAAGCCCAATGTCGAAAGCAAAAGAAAAAAAAAAAAGAAGAAAATGACCTGTATTAATTTATATAGACCATTTTGACTCAGAGTTGACAAGGAAGCCAGTTCTCTCTAGGCTCAAGTTTAAAAGCATCTCAGGGTGATGGTTTATGAGTAGGTCACCTCACCTCCAGGCTAACCAGAAATCTAGACTCCAGGAGATTTAAACTCTGTACCTGACATGTTAAGTAAAGAAGAGAGAATCTGTGGAAATTTTTGCCCAGAGAAGATAAAACAGCTATTACTTTGCTACAGTGTTTCTGGGCCTGTGCTGAGTGAAGTTTCATGGGCTGCCTGTGGACGAGTGACTCCCTTTTGAGATTCCTCCCGTCCTCATTTGCTTCTGGAGCAAATTTAGTGTGCTCCCCCAACTTATGCCAACAGGGTGGTGACTTCAGGGCTTAGGTGAGGGGGCTAGAGTCAGAAAGACGTTGGTGATTGTGGAGTTAGATGGCAAAATAGGAAAATGGGGCCTCCTCCTGACCCTCCTCAAGCAAGATACCAGCAAACAGTGGTAAGACACAGAGGAGAATTCTAGAACCTTGAGTCTAAAAAGGAAGAAGATAATGAAGTACTTCAGATACCACCTGAGGGAAGAAATGAAATTAAAACATCAGATAAGAAGACTGATGGAGCACAGAACTGCCCATTTTGAAAGGTGGTCTGGCCTTCTGAGGAACTGCAGATTGCAACAATAGTCACACCACTAGCAGCTGTCTGATGGCAAAAAAAAAAAGGTATGATTACCTCCTTTTTTCTCCATATCCCCCCGGGGAGCAAGAGAACGACTTTCCTCCCACCACAAGCACCCATTCCCGCACTCCTGAGGCCAGGCCCTCACCATTTTGTATCTTGTGCCAGGAGCAGGCATGTGACTCTGCTGCACTCAGAGACCCCTGTGGAAGCCTCTGGACTGTGCTGGGCCTGGCCTGAAACCATCTTCTGAATTAGTGGGAACACCAGCTCTGACTGGGATCCTTACTTCTTTCTAGAAACCCTTGGGGATACATTGCTATCTGTACACTATGATCACATTTGAAGCAGATGTCTTTCCTTAGACATCTCAGGCTGTCAGTGTCTGTCTCTTCAAACTAGACATCTCTGCCAGGATACCATGCCTGTACCCCAAATATGAGCTGGCAATGACACTATCCCTAGACAGGCAAACTGCCCTGGGCTCCTATGAGGTCAGCAGAATTCCATCCCAGGGTGGATGCTGTACCTGTTAATCCCCGTAGGCTAGAAAAGGTAGTGTCCATAGCCCAGCTTAGATTTGAGACCTCAGTCACCTTTCAAATGAATAGAAACTTTAACCTCACTGGTCACCCTATCCACAAATTTCTGTTGCGCTGCAGACAAACTGGCTCAGAGCAGACCTCTTGCCTTCCCCCGCCACACCAGTGGTAGAAGAGCCAAGCAGTTGTCCAGCCCACCCTTCTCCCTTTTCTCTCTCCTGTTTTTTAAAATTAATTAATCACTTTTGGGGGTATTTTTCCCCATTTCAAGTTCAGGGATCTGTTACCTTCTTTTAAGCCTTTCCCTGCTTCAGTCCTTTTGATTGAACATTAGCTTACACTCACTATGAATATTTTTATGTGAATTACATTAGAAGGCTTATGCGCTCAAAAGCCAGAGCTCCTCAGGAACTCATCTCTTCTTTGACTTTTTTCCAGTAAAGCTTTTTGGAAACAGCAGAAGTTACACATGTGTTTATTTTGAAGAGATACTCATGGCAAAAGAACAAAAATGGCCCTTTTTGAAAACTACTTTGCTATTTTTTAAAAGCATACACCAAAAGATGACTTTTTAAAAAGGAAGTTTTCTTTTTTAATTCCTAAAGCAAGTTCATTCATTGTGGCTAGGTTAATTTTATTTTTAACATTAAGTATGTCAACTTATTTCTGTGTTATAAATAAAAACCATCAAGTTTGAATAGATGAGATTCTGAAAGTTGACTTAATGTTTTTTTGAATGAAGCCTTATGTTTTGTTTTTGTTTTTTATTCTTTGAATTTTTTGTTCTTACCTCCAAAAAAAAGTCCAAATATTCATTACTAGACCCACATCTTGATTTTAGTAGCATTGTATTATGGTAGAATAAAAACTTGATGTCAGTCCAGAGACTAAGATACACCTGATCCAGGCTGTAGTCTTTGCAATTATTTGCTATGCATCATAAAGCTGGACAGTGACTAAGGATGGTAGAAGAATTGATGCCTTTGAGCTGTGGTGCTGGAGAAGACTATTGAATATACCACAGACTACTAGGAGAACAAACAAGTTTGTCCTGGAGAGTGTGAAACCAGGCTGCTTCTTGGAGACAAGGATTCTGAAGTTCCATCTGACATAATATGGGTATGTTGTAAGGAGGGACCAGTACTTGGAGAGGGACATCATGCTTGGAAGAGTAGAGGAATTGCCCAGGAGAGGAAGATCCTGGACGAGATGTATTGACTCAGTGACTGGGGATATGGGAGTAGATGTGTCAGAGACAATGAAGTTGGCTTAGGATAGTGCAAGGTTTCACTATGAACTACAGGTGATTGAATGGCATGTAACAGCAACACCATCTCTTAAAATGTATGAAATTAATATATGAATATTTAATCCAATGGAAAGATGTTACCATTTCATAAATTACCAACTGCAAAGTTCTTTAAATAGACTGACATTTATTGGTTTATTTTTTAAGTACCTCTACTAGTGTCAAGGTTAGACTAGTATCAAAGACAGTTTTGAGAGGTCTTTTATATTGAAGGGTTGAGGAAAGATTTGTCTAAATTCAGCTACCACTAAAACACACTGGTAGACCCACTGATGTGTTTCAAGAGAAATTTTGTATTTCGTTGGAAAAGATTATGAATGAGAAATACTGCTTCTGTAATGGTTTTATTTCTAAATAATAGATATCTGTTCCTGTATTAAGCATTACGTTATGTGACAAACTTTTTGTGTGAAACTATTTACTAAGAGTGTAAGTTGTTTGCAAAGTCTGAAAAAATTATCTAGTAGGTCTTTTGCTTTTTATCTGCATAATCTGTGGGCGCTCTTTCGTTCTGTCAACTGATGTGTTTCAAACCGTGCTTTACATTAGTGGGGTTGTGGAACTGTTACAATTAACAATATTAACTGCATGCAAAGTATGTGATTGATAAGTACTAATACTCAGTTTTATCGTTCTTTTTATTCCATGCACCATCTTTCATTCTTCTCCTATATTGTATGTTTGAAATTAATCCCATAAAAATGAAATCTACTTCATTTCCATACAAACCTTATTCCATTTGTGAAATGCTGCTGCCCTTTGGTTTGTCCTGGTCCTCGTGCAACTATACGTGGACTGGATCTCACTGTCCTGCAGACCCAGCCCTCACTCTTCCTCCTATCTCCTTCAACAAACTTACACAGGCACAAACTTGGGACAGCTCTAGCTACAGCATTCCATCAGAAGGAGACAGTGACAATGGTAGGTGGCTTTGCACTTATCCTTCAACTTGCTCATAAGTCAGCCAGTGGAGAGAAGGGACATTCATTTCTGTACACCTGTTCAGATGCATGTTTAATACAGGAAATCACATATAGAACCCATAAAAATGCATGTGGATTATTCTCTAGCAGCTTTTCAAACTAATTTCTTATCTTGAATATTCTAAATTTCCAGGAATAATTGAAAATCATTCCTGATTTTTCTTCCAGAGTTTTTTGAATTGTTGATTGTTTGCAAAGGTTTCCCTGTCTGGGTGATCTGTGCTTGCTTCTGCTTCTGAACTAAATGTATTTAGAGATTGTTCTTTTATTATGTGTTCTCTATGTGAATCATACAAAGTAGGTAAAGTTGCCTTGACTGAGCCTAGGTTTATCCTGAAAGCAGTGTTACATGTTGGGACCAACCTAAGAAGAGACATTATTGTGCTGTCTCCTTTTTACAGTTTATTTGCACATTTTGACTTTTAATACTTTTTCTGAGTGTAAGTTCGTTTAGATAATATTTAAGAGTTTTTTCCTAAGAATCAAATGTGCAATTAAAAATCTAGTCAGAATTATGATGCGTATCTTTTAAGTAGTGTTATGAACTCTCTTAAATAGCTTTAGACACTAAAATAAGTAAGTAAAATTGTTAATCCATTACTACATCTATCTGAACTCTCATTTTAGTCTATTGCTAGTTCACATTTTAGGTATTTTACCTCAAAATACAAAGTGATAAAAGTCGTGTTCAGTGGTACAGAGGGTATGATTTACCAGGACGAGAGGTGAATACTGTATTGACTATTGTATTGACTTGTAACTACAGTGCCAACACAATGGGAAAATATGTTTGCTGTTGATACATTTTATCTAAATATGTTATAGGCAATTTCAATGAAATATACTTTTTAAACTTGTTAAGATCCTTGGT